GCACTGGAGGACCAACACTGGCCATTCTCTCACGGCTTAAGGTGTAACAGCCCATACAGACAAGAGCACACGTGACTCACACTCATTCCAAAGCATCCTAACTAAACCAACACCTCTGAACCCATGCCAACCTGAGGCTGCTGAGTCTGCTGTGTTTTCAAACACCGTCCGTTCTGGCTCCTGAATCCCAGCTTCCTGTTAATGCCGGTCCTGGCAGGCACCAGGTGGACAGAGCGATCCTGCCACCCCCATGGGAGCCGTGTGTGGTGCTCCAGGCTCACGGCTTGTTTTCCTACGTGGCTCTCACCTACTGTTTGAGGGCATATGAGAAGTGACACAGCAGATGGAGGCTGGCTTGCCTGATCTCTATCTGCCCTCCCCCCTGCCTTTTTTTTTTCAGTTATAAAGTTATAATTTAAAAACAGCGCATTAGTTTGTTGAGTTACAGTCACCTAGTAGGTTCAGGCTCTAGAGGCCACAGAAAGGAAAAAAAATAATCACACTCAATGGGAAGAATTGGCTCCTTCCCTGAAGGGCACTGAGCCCGGCCGATAGCAGGCACTCGACAAATATTTGATCCAAAAATATGTGAAATTCAGGCCAACATACAACTGTCTTCTACACAAAATAGGATAAGATCCTGTTACTGCAGCCATCCTTGGAAGAACCCTTTATGAGCTCTGAAGAGCAGTAGGATTTAAAGGAACACCATTTTAAACAGAATTGCAGATTTTTTTAATGGAGAGGATTTTGTGCGATTGCTTCAGGGCAGGGATGGTGTGAACTGGCCCTTTTAATTCTCCGGGGTTTGGATTTCATTTCAGAGCTCCTGCTGCGGTTCCACCTTTCATCTGAAACGGCTTCCAAACACGCCAGAGCCCCTACAAACCAGCGGAGCTCCCTGCGTGGGAAAAGCGCGCCTGGGCTACCGCGCCGGGCACATCTGAAGTCCGAGGGGCCTCATCCTTGGCCCAAAGAACCCAGCTGCGGGTGCTCTGCGGATAAGTTTTCTCCCATTTTCCTTTACAAATATTAGTTTAGTCTCTTGTTAAGAGAGTTATAAATCTAAGCACTATGAAGTTACAGAAAGCTTTTTTCTTTTTTTTTTCCCCCCTTTTTGGTTTTCAATAATACTGAGATTGGACCCTAGAACACCAAGATTATTCTGGAGGACCCATGGCTGACCACAACCCCACTACTGTAAAAATGCCATTTACAGAGAGCACCTGAGTCCATTTCTCCACATTCTTAAGGGGAAATTCTATGCTTCTCATAGAGCGTTCTCTGAGTAACCAGAACCCACAGCAGGCTCAGGGGACACCTTCACGTGGCCAGGGCTACTTCAGAGTCTTAAGAAGGGGAGCAGCAGGGCTCCGTAGCTCTCTCACTACTAGGGAAGACTAAGCAAAGATGCCAATCTGATCAAACAACAGGAAACACAAGACAGACACCACCGGAGAATCAGTCTGGGGACACAGTGGGGAAGGTGAGGAAGGCTGTGACCCTCGGAGCAGGGCGACTTCAGCACAGCGTGTGTGCAGGCAAAGCATGTCCACTGTGAGGCCCAACTGCCCGAGTGGACATGATGGAACTCCCCAAAGCTGCTTCTGCCAGCTCTGGCCCAGAGAGGCTAAGCCGGCCTTTGCATGTCTCCTCCAGGCTCAGAACAAAGACTACACACTTGTCCTTGCGCTACCCAGATCCCAGGAGAAAAAGATGCAAAGGAAGACAGCTGACCTCCTGGGGAATGACACACACAACGAACATTCAGCTGGGACAGTACAGCAGGGCGGATTTCTCCTTCTGAGACAAACAAAGCCAAGCGATGATCTCCAGGACTGGGGCTGGCACGATGGTGCAGCATGTTAAGCCCCATCGTGCGACATCAGCATTCCACAAAAGCATCAGTTTGCATCTCAGCTGCACCACGTCCCATCCTGCTCCTTGCCAACATGCCTGGAAAAGCAACAAATACTGGCCCATAGGGAGACCTGGATGCAATTCCAAGCTTCTGCCCTCAAGCCTGGTGGTTGTAGCCATTTAGGGAGTGAACCAGCAGATGGAAGATGGCCCTCTCTCATTCTCTCTGTACTTTGTCTTTCAAATAAATAAATTAACTTCCAAAAGAAAAAAAAAAAACATAAAATGTCCAATACTCACTTACCTTAAAGACCTTGTCTAAAAGAACAAACAGCTGGGGCCTGGCACAGTAGCCTAGTAGCTAAAGTTCTCACCTTACACGTGCCAGGGGCACTAGTTCGTGTCCCGGCAGCCCCGCTTCCAATCCAGCTCTGGCTTGTAGACTGGAAAAACAGAGGAAGATGGCCCTAAGGCTTGGGACCCTGCACCCGCATGAGAGACCCTGAAGAAGCTCCTGTCTCCTGGCTTCAGATCAGCTCAGCTCTGTTGCGGGCACCTGGGGAGTGAATCAGCAGATGGAAGATCTCTCTCGTGTCTCCTCCTGTCTTTATATCTGGTGCTCCAATAAAAATAAGTACATCTAAAAAAACAGGCAAACAAAAAAGCCAAACAGCTGCCACAAGATGACCACCGATGGCCAGAAAACACACGTGAATAAAACCCAGCTGAGGGGTCTTACAGAGACGGCTCCTCACCAGAAGGCACCTAGATTTTTAGGCAGTACCTAATAGCAGCTGAGCAAGATACACATCTCCCTGAGTGTCACTCACCCGACTGAAAGCTCTCAGGAACGGCCCTTTGTCTGAACTGCCCCAATGGGAAGATCGCCGTGCCCTGGAGACACCCCCCTCTGTTCCCCAGTTCACAGGACATGCTTATTCCTGAAGGAACCACTTCTCTCCCCGTCAGGATCCCAACACAGTCCACAGGCCGTGGAGGCGCTTGGCTGGCTCCTCTCTCTCGAGCAAAGCCGTTTCTATTAATCTCCTGGCAGGAGACAGAGTTATCTCTTAGCTGTATGAGATGCACAGTGCAACAGCAGCTTCTGACCTCGACATCCATCCACCTGGGCAGGATTCTGCCCTTATTCCTTCCAGGCCTCTGGACACAGCTGGAGATGCCAATTTGTCCTGTCACGTGCAAAACAGCCGACAGCTCTATTAGCATGGTCTAAGCACCAAGCCCAAACAACTCACATTTAATTGAAAGCAGAGAGTGGGGCCCACAGACATGTCTAATGGTGTGGGTATCACTGTTTCAGCTGATTTCAAACAAGTCTCTCTGCAGGGCAGAGAGGAGTGGAACATTCTCCCAAGCCCGAGAAGGGTGGGGAGGGGGTGCCGCAGTGCCACCCTCTGCAGGCCAGACTTAGTGACGCTAAGAAACAAACGCAAAAATTCAGAGCAGCCAGCGCTGTCACATCAGGCAGCGAAAGGAAGATTGAATGCTTGCCAAAGCTGCATCTGGACGGACAGATATCACTGAAGTTGGGAGCGTGTGCAGAAAACACATCCAGGATACTCAGCCCATCAGCGGTGCTGTCTCTAGGCTCCTCTTTTCCCTGCTAAACCTGAACATCTGATCTTTTATTCACGTGCAGGAACGAACCGGCAGCTGTTAGCTCACTGCTACCTGCTCGGTGCCCAGCACGTCTGGTGGCCTCCGGGAGTCCCCGGGACCCCTGGCGGAGGCTCTGTCTGTGCTGGGTGACCTGTGCTGCTCCTGCAATTGCAGACACCCACGCTGCTGCAGACTCCGAGCCGCAGCGAGGCTCGCAAGATCAAGGGACCCGTCGCAGCAGCCTTTTTAACTTTGGGAAAGCCCAATGCTCACTTCACTCACGCGTCGCAAAGTGGTGCCATGACCCTTTAGCTCTTGGCTCACCAATTCAAAGAGCCACATCACATACAGCCCTGACGCTGCCCACGGCATGATTCTGTGTCTAGTTCCTTTCCAGCACCCCCCGCCACCCCCCAAGCAGAAGACAGTTCTGGCAGGTAGTCCGGGCAGGACGACTACAATATTCAGCCTTTGTCCCTTCTTTTGCTACGTCTTCTTGTAGAGTGAGGCAAGTGGGGCTGGGAGATGGAGGACTTTGGCATCTGGCAGACTTGAGACCTGTACTGAAAAGATCCCCCCCCACCACCACCACCCCATGCAGGATCTGGGGTCCGCTTCATCTAGCCCTTGAGCCTCCATTGCAAAGACCAACAAACTGAGGTTCAGGAAAGTGGAACCCTCTCCTCAGAAGGAGGTGGAGGGCCTGGGACAAACTGAACTACCTCCTAGGCTTCCAACCTTGGTCAATGTGCTGGGCAGAGCAGAAGGGAAGCTGAGCTGTGAAGGCAGACACACGGCCCAGCAGCTGTGAGCTCCCACTTGCCCACGTGTGAAAAGAAGGCAGCAATGCCTGCACCGGTGATGGCCAACGCGCCTTTCAGCTCTAAAACTGTCTTAAGACCGCAGGACAGAAGCCTGCGCGGGTGCACTGAATGCATATGTCCAGATCAAATGCACACACGACCTATTTATCATACAAAGGACACGCCGCATACCCTCTCCCACCATCCATTTTGCCTCACAGCGACTATGCTTTCTGACCCCAAGTCAGGGCTAGACACGTGTCAAACAGTCAACCTTTCAGATCCCGGGAGTCTCAGTACTATCCTTGGCATATGATTCAAATCCTCAGAGGAGACAGCCAACCTGAGGCAGAGGGGCTGGGCTGGGGAGAAAGAGGAAGGGGTCAGGGAACACCACCAGAAGCAACACAGACCGTGCAGGCTCGAATCTGGTGCCCCATGGTGCCCGGTGAGCAACGCTTGTCCATGCCCGGCCCCCAGCCTGGCTCCCGGCCCACGTGTGAGGGCAGCAACCTGCTCGCCCGGTTTTTCGCGCGTCCTGAGCCAGCCACTCTTGACAACGGGCGGCGCGGACCCGGCGCGTCTTCCGCAACACACGTGGCCCCCGCGCGGCGTGAGGGCGGAAACGCGCCGGCCGCCTCCGAGTCCCGCCCGCACCCCCCTCCGTGGCCGGCGCTAGGACCCCGCACGCCACACGCACTTCCTCCCGCCGCCTACCTGGCGAAGCAGTACTCGCAGTGGTTGCCCCGCTCGTTGACCGTGAGCACGTAGGCATAGGCCGGGCAGGAGAAGAGCAAGTCCCCGACCTGGAAGGTCTGGAGGGCCCGCAGCCCTCGGCCCTTGCCCGGGCTGCAGAAGCGCTCCAGGCCGCCGTGGCCCTCGGCCCGCATGGTGGCGGCGAGGCGGGTTGTGTGCGGGCGCGCAGGGGCGCCGGCTGTGCCGGGAGCCGCGGCTTCCCCCGATCTGTTATTGGAGCCGCGTCACCCCGAGCAGCGGGGGGCGGGCTGGGGACGCCGCCCGCTCCCCGGAAGGGACGCCGGCCCCGCCCGGGCCTCGCGCGTCCCCGCCCCCGCGCGCGGGACCCCCGGCGGCCGCCCCGCACGCACCCGCGCGCGCTTCCGGTGTGGCGGCCGCAAGGCGCGGCGGGGCAGGGCGGCGGCTCCGGCCGGGGCGCGGCGGCCTGAGGGAGCGGACCGGAACCGGACAGGACGGGACGGGGTCGCCTCCCGGGCACGCGTCCGAGGTCTGGCCTGGCCCAGAGCGTGACCCGCCGTTGGGCCGGGGAAGCGGGCAGGGCGTCTCCTGACCTTGCAGACCCCGTGAGGGCTGCGGCCGGAACCCCGAAGGGGAGCTAGCTCCTGGAGGCACAGGAGTTAGGTTGGCTGTGTGGAGGGCCGTTCGGTTCTCGAAGCCCGTGAGGAGCTTCCGGTGAGCCTGGTGGGCTGTCCAAGGGGCCGCAGGGTCAGCCCAGCTCCCAGAGAGAGAGAGAGAGAGAGAGAGAGAGAGAGAGAGAGAGAGAGAGAGAGAGAGCCGGAGACGTCCTGGCCTTCAAGGAACTTGAACTGTTGCCGAAGCCAGAGCCCTGCAGAAAATTGCAGTGATTTCAACGGTTTTAACCACTTCTCCGCTGTGATCTCAGAAAAAGTGAATCAGGTAGTCTCAGTGCTCGTTGAAGGTGTAAATAGTGCTCAACAGGTAAATCCCGCACACATGCAGCGTACTGGTTATGTGAGAGGAGTGTCATTTGTATTACACAAAGCCATTAAGAGCGACGCTGATGTGCATGCAGTGTGAACCTTATAAAGGGGTCGCTTAAGAGAAAACCTTCCTCCAGATATCTCAAACGGTGGGATCTCTAGATTCAGGGCTAGTTCAGTGAAGGGAGAGAGTAAATCAGAAGATGTTAGCTCAGAGGGAGTTTGCTGACTTCAATAAAATCCCTTACTGTTAACCAAACGAGTAAGCCTTGAGCCCTGCTACAGGGAGGGCCCTGCTACAGGGAGGGGACGTCAGAATTATGCAGCCCTTTACGTGCTGAGAAACATGCCGAAAGGATGGGTGACATGTAGCCTTGAGTTGGTAATTCGACACGGTCAAGACCAGTAACCATTAGTTACTGCGTTTATGGGCCAGGTGCTGAATCACTAAGCGCCTCACCTAATACTGACAACAGCTGGATGAGTTAAGGGTTAGGTTCCCCCATCTCTAGTGCTAGGAAACCAAGACTGAAAAAGAGTGATTGCCAAGACTACGTAGTACATTGCAGAGTTGAATTTCCATGCTCTTGTGAGTTCGAGGCCTGGGCTCCTGATCACTGGCCTGAGTGCTTGGGGTCAGTTTGTACAGAACGTCCTGTGGGAACACAGGGAGTGACAGATGGAGCCTGGGAAAGATCACAGTTCAGAAGCCACCTGCAAGCGTGTGTGTGCTGAGCCTCAGAATGGATGGGATTTTATAAGTGGCAGAGGGAAGAGTGCTCTGGGCTCAAGAAAGCTACGTTTAAGAACAGAGGACCTGCCGAGACGGGCTGGTTGGGGTCCCTGAGCAATTCTGAGAAGAGTGCGTTTCAAAGGAGCAGACAGGAGGTAGGCAAGGACTGTGGAAGGTCCGGAGGTGAGATCCAGCTGAGAGGCCGAGGGAAAGCCCTGGTCCGTTTCTAGGCACAGGTGTACCGTGATCCCATGATTTGGGTTGAGTTCTGGCTGCACTGCAGGTGGGTGGGAGTTGGAGAAGTTGAACTCAGCACTGCCAGTTAAGGGAACGTTTGCAGTTTCAAAAATAAGGGGTGAAGAAAGCTGAACTCAAGGCCGTGGTTTCAGGAAGAGGCCAAGATGTTAAGTCTCTTGGTTAAGCCCTGCTTAAGCCCAGGGTTTCTCTACGTGGGGAGATGTGAGGCCAACAGGCACCACATGGTGTTGCCCTTCAGCTTCAGCGTGCTACATCTTCCTGGCCCGAGGTAGGAGCCATACATAGAGCTTTTGGAATGGAAGAACCATTTTCCAATGACGTTCAGTACTTGGCCTCACAGAGTCAGCATGAAAGTCCATGACATCAAATTTATTCCAGAAACAGCATTTTTGGGCTGTTGATTCTGTGGAAACATCCCCTGCCTTTCCAGCATTGTGTGCTGTGACAGAGGAGGCAGACATTTAATCAGATTTCAATCAAATACAAACTCTTGGTGGTCACAGGTACCAAGGCAGGGCTTCCAGGATTTAACTGAGTCTGGGAAAGCTTTGCAGAGAGGAAAAACACTTGACCTAAGATGCAAAGGATGCATGGGACTTGGCCAAGAGAAGGCAAAGAGGGACAGGCCTTCTAAGCAGAGGAAACACCATGTTCAGAGTTCTGCCGGTTGAAAGACATAGGTGTGACCTGGATGAAAGACAGGTGTGACTGGAGCAGAGCTGGAAAGAAAGTGTGGCTCCTGAGGGTGTTGGGAAGCCGTCAGGTCTTCTTGACCAGGCTGCCGGAGCTGAGCCTGAGCAGTAAGGAGCTGGTGTCAGCTCCATGCCACCATGTGAGATGAGCTTTCCCTAGGAGAGCTGCCTCTGTCGATTCTGGCTGTTGCATTTCTGTATATCTGCCTGAACAAATCTTGAACATATTCCTGAACTCTGTAGGTTTCTCTTTTTTTTAAAAAAAAAAAAATCTGATACTGGCTCTGACTAGTAAGAAAATGGCAAGACTGACCTAGAAGTAACAGAACAGTAAATATTTAGAATAGATGATTTATTATCTCAAGAGAATAACTGTGCCAAGTGATCTACTTACTTCCTTTGTTGTAATTTTATGCGAGGATTTTTTTTTTCACCTTCTTTCTCTGGAGAAGATTTCCCCAGCTGAGGACCACTCGTGGAACGGTGGGGTTGTTTTCTCAGGTGCACAGTGGCTGCAGCAGGCTTATTCCTGTGGGTGAAGGTGACAGTGACTTGAGAACACTGGAAAAGAAACAGCCTCATTACAGAAAAATCCCGGTGCTGAACTTCAGTAACTCGAGCCGGGGAAATAGTCAGTGAGGCAATAGCCATGAATGTGGGAGCTTAAATTACGACGAAAAGTCTGTTTAAAATAAACGGGCCAAGGGATGGCCACCAGCCGGCTGGACCTGACCGATGACAGCGCTCTTTATGAAGCTCATACTTGTCACTCTGCCACTCTGGGCTCTCACATTCCGTGACAGGAGCCCTCGAGCCATCGACTGCTCCCCCCACTCCCCTGACCTGGAAAGATGGGCGTCTGGATGGACAGGCTTGGTTCTTTTGCCTCCCTGAAGTTCAAGAAAAGTGTATAGGATGAACCCCCCGCCCCCGGGAGTGGGTGCTGAATTTCTCTAGGCTGTGAGTTGATCTGATTTGTGGGTGTAAGATCCTTCCTGTCACAGATTAGCACGTGAAAGAAATAGCTGAGGCCTAGGGAGATAAAACCTCAGCCCAGAAGGACTGCTCACAAACATGGATAAGGGCCCTGTCCCCAGTCCTGCTGTGGCTCTGCCTCTAGCTCATTGATTAAACTGCCTGCAAGGTGACAGACAGCTAGGTCTGCATAGGTGAAAAGGCCAGCACGCACATGAACAGTTGTAATGGTAACTATTTTTTGACTAAGTTCCAATCCTTACAACCTATAAACGTTACCCTACATGGTTGGGAAAGGTCTTAGCAGCCATGTGTGCTAAATTAAGCATCTTCAGCTGGCAATTCTAGTCTAGATGATCCAGGTGAGCCCTCTGCGCAGTCACAAGTGTCCTTATGAGGAGAGGCCGAAGAGGATCTGACACTGACAGAGGAGGAGCCAGCCATCTGACCACAGAGAAGGAGATTAGGGTGACCAGGCAGCCGCCAGGGGCTGGAAGCAGCCAGCGATGGATTTTCCCCGGAGCCTCCCGAGGGTTGCGGCCCTGCCAGGAGCTTGCCTGGGGCCCAACGATTCCAGTCTCAGGCTTCTGGCCTCCAGAACTGGGAGTGAAGAAACATCTGTTGTTTGAGTCAGCCCCTAACCGGTGACTTGTTGCAACAGCCACAGGAAACTAATACTAATAATGTGTAATGAAAATGTAATAGGGAGCTGAACAAAGTACAGGAAGGCATCCCAGCAGATCTGAGGTTTTAACTTCTACAAGAGAGCATAAAGATTGATTGAGGGAAACAGGCTCCTAAAATGGATTTCCGGCACTCCAGGTGCAGGATAGGGGAGAATTCCATTTACAGTGATACATTAAGAAGCTCATGGGAAATGGAATTACAAGACGGATTTAGAAGCAGGCACCTAGTCTGGTGGTCAAAGATGCCTGCATCTCACATTGGAGTTCTGGGTTCGATACTGGACCCCAACCTCCTGCCAACGCCAGTTCCGGGAGGCGGTAGAGAGGGCTCATGTGCATGGGGTGTTCTGGGAGGTGGTAGAGAGGGCTCATGTGCGTGGGGTTCCTGCCACCTGCCTGGACAGCCTGGACTGAGTTCCTGGCTTCTGGCTTTGGCCCAGCTCAGTCTTAGCCGTTGTAGACATTTGTGAAGGGAACCATTATTCTCTTAGGTAAATAAACAATTTTTAAGAAGGATGTTTATGCAAAAATTTTTTTTTGGAATCTATAATTTTTTTTCGTGACATACATTCCCCATATACTTTTTAAACAATAATGTACACATGGTTTTCAAAATTAATTATTTTGAGATTTGTTTTTATTTGTTGAAAGGCAGAGTTACAGAGAAGCAAAGACGCACGGAGAAGTTGTCCCTCTGCTGGTTCACTCCTGAATGAGCACAGAGGCCAGGCTGAGCCAGGCCGAAGCCAGCCGCGGGGACTTTGATCTGTGTCTCCATGTGGATGTAGGGCCCGACCTCTTGCTTCATCTTAGGCTTTATCAGGGAGCTAGACTGGAACTGGAAAAGCTGGGACTTGA